TCTAATGGTTAGAGTTACCATGTCTAGGCAATAAGAAGTAAAAGTCTCAATAAATAAAGAAAAGTGATTCTTAATAGATAACATAGAAGAACAATGGTTATGATTTTTAACTTTCAACAACGTTAAATTACAAAACAAAGAGTATTAGTTAAGAAGGGTTTACCAATGATTAATTTTATATAATCTGACACAGGATGAATTGCAGAAAACATTTATTTTTCTTTCTAATGTTTAATTTAATTGTTTTATTTTATTTTATTTATTATTATTAAAAAACTTATTTTTTTCATTTTCATTATTGTTACAAGTAAATAAAAAAATCTTAACGTATTTTTTGTCTCTTCTAAAATAATGATATAATTGAAACATTCCCATTTTGTATTTTATTAAAATAAAAAATAAGATGATTAAATCAGATGATCACTATTTAAACAGTAAAATAACTAAATTAAACTGAAAAAATACTCTTCATGTCTCAAAATAACTATCAATTTTTTTATTTTAAATTTGTTTCAAATTAATAATTGTTTTTTTTTTAAAATAGACAAATATTTTTTTCTACTTTAACTTTAATCTTATTATTATTTATTCACTTTAATTAATAATCTAATCATAAAAAATCCTTTTTTTTATTTTTTATTTCTTTTTTAAAGGTATTATAAATAAATACAAATATTATTTCTAAATACTTAATTTAAGAAAAAACCAAAACACAACAATTTTTTTAAGACAAAAGACTAATAAATAACATATCAAATAAATAGTATCTATAAAAGTAATTACAAGAACTATTTTCTTGGAAAAAACATTTAATATGAAAATGAAAAGAGTCTAGTGTTTTACCATAAGAGGCCATTTTTAATTCAATATTAATGTTTTATAGTTTCGTAATAAAACTTAGACTATAAAATATTTTTTTACAAATAAAAATATAGTATTGCAATAAAAAAAAATTAAAATACAGTCTACTTGCAGACCCCCATGTGGTCCAAGTGGTCACGCTGCCCTCAGGCAGCAGGTAATCTGCACCTCTTTAGCGATTCGAGCCTCTTTACTAACAAATACTAATACTACCTCTAATTAATTTTTACTGTAAAAAAAAAAAAAACAAAATACAGTCCGCTCTATCTAGAAGGTATTTTATTTAATTATTAATTAATAAAGTAAACCCCTTTCGAATTAAGAGTTTAGCCTTCATTAATGGTTAAAAAAATTTGAAAGTAACATGGGAAGTGAGTTGGGTGTGGGACGGGCATTTTGATTTTTGACTCTAAAATCTGAATTTGCGCAAAGAAAAGAATGCCGAATGCCGCATGCCGAATGCCGACGACTTCTGAAATATGGGTTAACGGGATCCACGTGAATTAATGCTCTCAGAACAAATCTTGGCGGATTAATCCACTTTAAAGTTTGGACTTTGGACTCCCACTCTCATGATGTCTGTAATCAAACATCAATATATTCACGCAATGGACTTTCGGGTGTAAGTGATTTATCTTTAAATTTTAAAATGTTTAAGTTAATTGGTTGAGATTTTAATTTTTACTAACATTTTGAAAATTTTCCTTCTCTTAATTTCTCAAATTGTAAACTTTTCTAAAAAAAAAAAAAAACATCAATATGTTCCTTACTAAAAAAAAAGAACACCAATATGTTCCTATGAAAAAAAAAATGCAATATGCAGGACGGAAAAACAGAAA